ACCTTCGCTTGCCAACTGAGAATCCAAAGAGGATTTTCACTTCTGTGGAAAAATGTGCAAAGTGAAACTAGCGTCCAGCAAGCCCAGAGCAGTGAGAGAGGCCCCACCAGGCTCCTTCCCGGAGAACTCAGCATCTCAGCAGCAAGCGGCCATAGTTTGGAACTGTGTCTGTGAGAATCTGTGCTTTATTTGCAAGTTATTTTGTGCATCTGTTAGAGAGATATGTCCCACAACATCAGAAAAGCCTAAGAGATTATTTTTTTTTGGTCTGGGAATAAAAAATTTTCCATGTAAATTAATGATAATTGCTTCTTCATTTATGCCATTTTGGTTAATGAAAGGTTTCATAGAACACTGTGCTTTTGGGGCGCACGGAAAACCTTTATACCCAAGTGGCTGAAAGAATACAAATAATTTTTGTTTCCCCAGTTTTTCTTTGTCACCATTAGCAGCAGCTTACCTGCATATATCAGGCAATACACATGTTATGTGTTGAACATTGACAGGACACGTTTGGAAACATTCAGTAGGTGCTCTAGACCCCAGTCCATTAAAAACATGACATCAAGTAGTAAGTCCATTTATCATATATCTCTAGATGGAGTCTACCAAGATTATGGAGCTTTCTTTTAAATCAGGTATGAGAAGAAAAGAGTTGCCAATAAAAAAATACATATTTTTACTGTCTTTACACTTGTAATTACCTTGACCATTTTTCTTTATTTTTGTGTAGATTTTACTTCTTCGTGTCATTTCATTTCAGCCTGAAGGTCTCCCTTTAGTGTTTCTTATAGGATAAGCCTACTCTTTAAATTATTTATGTCCTTTATTTAGTTTTTAAGCTATTAAAAATAATTTTATATTCATTTTTAGAAATCAAAACAAAAAAGAACAAAAGAACAAAAATGTAAATTACCTATAACATTATTGTTACAGGAGCACTGTAGTGAAGTGGTTCTTTATTATACTTCCCATCACTCTGTTGAGATTCCCTATCTTTTCATTCACAACCTTTCATTTCCTTCAAGTCCTTGAGAATTTATAATAGTTGTTTAAAATCCCTTCTCTATTAACTCTAACATCTGGATTATCACAAGGTCTTTTTTATATTGACTGTCTAAAACTTTCTTGAAGGCTTTATTTCTATAGGAAAAAATTTATGTATGCCAGAAAAAAGCATCACCCAATTTAAAAAATTAGGTAATACATTAAAAACCTAGAATTTTCCACTATTAAAATTTGGTGAATAAAAAAGTTGATTGAGAGAGATGTAGATAGATATTAGATTTTAAATGAAAATGGGATCCAACTATACGTGATTTTTAAACCTTTTTTTTCTACTGAACATATTTGAATGTATTTTCAAATCAATAAATTTGCACTGACATTATATCACTTTTATGGATGCACGATATTTAGTTCGGTATATGGATGTATCGCACTTGATTCATTTTGTTCCTACCTTTGATTTTTATACCAATGCTGCCTTGAAGCTTGTTTCCTCACATCATATATTTTTTTATCTTGTCTCATTATTTCTCCCAAATTAACTTTTTTCCTTATATATATATATATATATATTTTTTTTTTTTTTACTGAGGTATAATTGACCTACAATTTTACAATTTTATATTAATCTCAGGTATATGATATCATGATTCAATATCTGTATATATTGCCCAATGATCACCATAATAAGTCTAGTTAACATCTATCACCATACAATTTTTTTTGTGATGAGAACTTCTAAGACTTATTTTCTTAGCAACTTTCAAATATGCAACACAATAGTATTAATTATAGGCACCATGCTGTACATTAGATCCCCCATGGTTTATTTATTTTGTAACTGGGAGTTTGTACCTTTTGACTCCCTTCACTCCTTTTGTGCACTTCCCCACCCACCATCTCTGGCGGCCACCAATCTGTTCTTTGTATCTATGAGCTTAGGTTTTTGTTTCGCCTTGTTTGTTCTAGATCCCACGTATTAGTGAGATCATACGGTATTTGTTTTCCTCTGTCTGACTTACTTCATTTAGCATAATGCCCACGAGGTCCACCCATGTTCCGGATGTTATGGTTAAGTGGAAAGACTTCATTCTTTTTTACAGTGGAATAATATTCCTGTGTGTGTGTGTGTGTGTGTGAGAGAGAGAGAGAGAGAGAGAGAGAGAGAGAGAGATCACATTTTTCCCAGATTTTCTGCAGTTTACATTACTTTATTTAACTGAAGTATCACCGAATATTGGTTTCAAGTATATAACACTTAAGACTCCCAACATGAAGGTGGCTCGTTACCATATTATCAAATCCTCACCCCCCAGTAGTGCAGTTACTATCTGTCAACACAGAAAGGTGTTACAGAAACATTGACTGTATTCTTCATGCTGTACTACCATCCCTGTGACCAAGTTATATTATGATTGATAAATTTTGTGCCCCGTTATCCCCCTCACCCTCCCTACACACCCACCCCAGCCCTCCCCCATGGTAACCACTAGTCACTTCTTAGAATATCACATCTTCTTTATCCATTCTTCCATCAGTGGACACTTAGGTTGTTTCTATATTTGGCCATTGTAAACAAGGCTGCAATGAACATGAGATGTTTATATATTTTCAAATTAGTGTTTTTGTTCTCATCAGATAAATACCTAGAAGTGGAATTGTTGCGTCTCATCTTAGTTCTATTTTTAATGTTTTGAGGAACCTCCATAGTATTTTTCTTTGTGGTTGTACCAATTTACATTCCCACCAATAGGCTAAAAGGATTCCCTTTTCTCCACATCCTTGTCAACACTTCTTTTTTTATAATAACCAGTCTAACAGGTATGAGGTGTTATTGTGGTTTTCACTGGCATTTCCTCGATGCTTTGGTACCTGCGGCTTTCTGTGTATCTTCTTTGGAAAAAGTCTATTCAGATCCTCTGCCCATTTTTTAAATTGGGTTGTTTATTTTTCATTGTTGAGTTGTATGAGTTCTTTATATATTTTGGATATTAATCCCTTATTTTTATTGATGGTTTTCGTTGCTGTCCAGAAGCTTTTCATCTTGTTTTAGAGCTTTATTTCCAATAAAGGTGGGAAACACTTGGTCTTCTCAGCTTAAAATTTAGAAGGGAAATAAAGGAAGCAAGGGAGGTCAGGGAGAAACGATACAAGAACATGGTTTCAGCTGGAGACTAGCTTGAGCTGGATCCCATGGAAAAGCTCTGGAGCACAAACTCTACTACAGACTTGGTCCCCCCTTCATGCAGGGAGTCACCCATTCATTGGGGGAGATCTCTGCTCAAGTTGGGAGCTTAGCATCTGGGCCAGGCAGCTCCCATTCGGTTGAGGGCAGATATCCAGAGAAGTAAATAGCTGTGAGCTGGCGTAGCCAACCCTCAACCCAGCTGAGTGGCAGATGTGTTGATCAGCAAAGAGGATTTGGGCAGGGCCCAAAAATCAAATCAAAATCATCCACTACATAAAGTTAAAATTCAATGCTCTATTGCTGAAGATGTCAATGTTTGCTCTTGAAACATCAGGAAAGATTTTAGAATTTATTTCTCATTCAACCAAGCCAAGTTTTGTCTAAACATCGATTCACAAATATTTGAAAGTCTGTTTTAAAACCCAGGGCAAAACAATGATCTCTTTAAGACCGGCGTCTCCCATCTCCATGATTCAATGGGTGAGAGAGCTCCTGTGCAACTAGGACTAAAAATGTGTTTCCCTAATTCAAAATACCCATTTTACACTGGCTTTTCCAATCTGCTTGTCTATTTTGGAATAGTTGTCTTCATGTCTTTCTTCATTCTGGCTCTGTGAAATCCCAACTGGTAATTTCTCAGAAAGGATTATGTTCTCAGATGCAGACAAAAACAGAGAGTATACCAAACTATCAAGTAGAAGGGCGACTGGTTTATTATACGAAGTCCATGTGGCATAATAAAGGAGAGAAAAGCTCACGGCGATGCAGGACCCAGAACGGCAGCAGGCCTCACGAGGAGAGAGATGCCGGGGCTATGAGGCCGTCAAGGGTCCTGGGCCACCTTGGCCGCAGGTGCACTGCTTCCCCATCAGCGGTGCTCAGGCTCTCCCTGCCTGTGGGTGTCACCCAGGGCCTTCCTGCCTCTTTGCCCCCGTTATTACCTTCCTCACCTGTTCACTCGTAACTTCCTCTGACAGAGGACACTGTAACTAGAACACTACCTCGTGGCATCTATTCTATTATCTTCAACTACCATGCCACTGCTTTATTATAAACTCTTTTCCCCTCATTCATATGAGAAGGAACCGACGGCCCATCCTTGCACAGGGTCTCTATTCCCAACTCAGTCACCTGGTTCAACCAGCTGCTACCTGGCCACTTGGTCAGCTGGGGCATGATAATCCAAGCCAATGCCACCCATACCAAACTGTCTCCCAAATCTTAGTTTCCACAAACTGGAATGCCCTTAACATTTTCCTTAAGGCCTCACCCCTGTGCCTGTCCAGATTTTTCTGGCCTGCAATTTCCCCCAAGAACTCTACAGGGAAAGATGTGACCAGTGTTGCCAGCAAACTGGGAAGCTGGAGCTAGTTCTTGTCTATCTCCATAACCTGTGGGCAGAAGGAGAGCGCCAGGAGGTATCGGGGCCAATCCGAAGAGAATCTCAACCCAGAGGAGTGGGTATAGACGAGGATAAAGTATGGCCACAGAATTCTCAGTACAATTTGAAATTATTTTGATCCAAGTCTTTGCATTTCCATATAGGAGACAATAAACAACCGATTCTAAACCCAATCCTTTGAGTGGCAGCACCATCAGAAGGAAAAATTCCCTTGTCAGATGTAAGCAAAAGGGATTTGCAAAAATTCAGTCTAGTGCTGCATCGCTGAGACTCAGCTCCCCTCTGCTGCTTCTCTTCATGACTGCCACTCTTCCCCTCCCGGGTGGCTTCCTCACTCTCTACAAATGGTTAGAAGAGCAGAGCAAAATACAGGTTTGGGGGAACAGACAAAGGGAATGGTGAGATAAGAATGACGCAAAATCCAGGAGAGGTGCAGAATTAGACACCCTCAGGGAGGTTGCAGTAGTTACTATGTTTGCAGCAGATGAGCTCTGTCCTCTTGCCAGAACCCAGGAAGTTGATGTCCTCACAGTTGGTCTTACATGACAGCTCTGAATAAAAATACATACTGTGCCCTGAGGAGATGAAAGAGAGAGCATGCAACTGTAATAATGGTTTCCTGCTACCCTACTCCCAGAAATAACCTCTGTTCAGACGCTCACTGAACTTCCTTTAAGCCCATGTGAGCGACAAGGCTGAGTCTACTGATTACTGACCCAGAGGATGGAGTTTATTCCCTAACTGGTAAGGGACACCGATCTCTCCTTCACTCAATATTGGCTTTGCTGTCCCCTCCACAGGACCACCCCCTTCTTACCCCTTCCTCCTCCCCTGCCCTCCCAGGGCAAAAGGACACCACTGTCTGTAAGGGGAGGAGGTGGCTACTTCTCGGCTCCTCTAGACCCTGTGTGACCTTTTTTTGTAAGTATGTAAATGTTCTCAACCGCGCAGGACTGCTGGTACTTCAGGCTGCAGGACTTCATGACGTCGTAGCATAAGCCAAGATGGTATCTTTTACATTTATAGCAAATTAGTGAAGGCACTGTTGGACACAGAAAGAAATGCTTAAACGATGCAGTCTAGAGAAGGTTCTCCTGGCCTGGGGGCTTCTCTACAGAAAGTGACTGTTGCCTGGTGGTTCCTAACTTTTCTCTGGCCATTGACTCCTTTGAAAATCTTGTGAAAAAAAACTTGTACAGACATAAATCAGATGTTGTATATGATTTCAAGAGATCAGAGTTCCTGTACATTTTATCTGTGGACCCCAAGTAACAAACCCCTTATTTAGCCTGATCATTTTGTTCAATAAGGGGGGGAAAGAGAGGAGAGAAGGGGATTTGAGCCTCTTAACTTGAAGAAATGAACTAAGTTGGTCTGAGAGAGGATGAAAACCCCTAGGATTCCATAGTGAAAATGGGTTACGGCCCCTCTGAAGATTGTGTTTGTGGAGGGTGGGGGGTGTTTACTCCTAAACATATCACAAATGACCTGTTTGCCAAGGAATTTAGACTAGCCGTGGTTGTACCTGTTAGATGTTCCTGAAATTCACCTGGAAGAGATGTAATAGTAGATTAATGATAACAAAATAATAAATAAATAAATAAATAAATAAATAAATAAATAAATAAATAAATAAATAGATAGATAGATAGATAAATTACTTCTGGCAAGTAAATTGTAAAGACAAAGCAAGGTTTAAAAATAAACAACTAAGATCAACTGTTTAAAACCTCCTAAATATAAAAAAAAGTCTTTCAAAATGGCCATCTTGCCTAAAGCAATCTACAGATTCGATGCAATCCCTATCAAAATACCAACAGCATTCTTCAATGAACTATAGCAAATAGTTCTAAAATTTGTATGGAACCACAGAGAACCTGAATAGCCAGAGCAATCCTGAGAACGAAGAATAAAGAGGGTGGGGGATCATGCTGCCATAATCTCACATGCATCCGCCAAAGCCCCAAGAGCCAATTTTGGAAAAGCTCCTGTCCCCCAGAATCTACCCCCCTCTTACTGCACAACCAGCTCCCTCTGTGCCTCCAGGACTTACCCTTAGTCGTGCCAGCCAGAAGGACCGCACTCACCAGAAAGGGAGCAAACATCCTGGGGTTTTTGTCTTGTGTGGTTTCCTGTGGAAGGTGCTGGTTGATCTCCAGGTGATATGTCCTTGGGCTAGTCATCTAAATCAGATCATCATAAAATTTCAGGGACAGACAGTACCTCAGTGTTCCCAGAATCGAGCCACCAACTACTGTCTCCCTACCTCTAAGGCATCTATTTAAAAATTCTCCTTCATGATGAGCCAAAAGAATATATATATATATATACACAGCACTACTAGTGAACTTTCTCTCCCGCTTTATAACCTTTCAAGGCCAGATTTGGATTGGATGCCTTACGCTCCTCGTAGCTCCCTTCACCAACCTAGCCACCCCCTCACAATCATCTCAGAACTGTCTTTGTCTCACTTAGGCAGAGGCACCAGGAACTGAGCTCGGGCTCTCCAGGCGTGGTCTGAATGTGGCGGGAGCACTGGAGTGCCCCTGACACGGTGCAGGAAAGGAGGTTTCGGGAAAAAAAAGGTGAGCAGAAGCGAAATCTGTCTAGTTTGCCTTCAGGTGTTATTAACTAACTGACTTATTTCCAATTAAAAATTTACTAACCACATACTAGATGCCAAGATCATAGGAAGGGAAGATGCCAAGCAAACCAGGACACTAATCAGTGGCCTCCCAGAGGGCAGAGTCTCTTTAAGATCCCCCGAGGCATCAAGCGCAGTTGGCTGTGTGGGCCCAGAGGAGGGGCATTCAAAGTTGACTGCCTGATCAGGGAAGGCTTCCCTGAAGAAGGGGTGGTTGAGCAGGGCTTTGCAGGCTAGCAGCGTGTGAGCGAGAAAGAGTGAGCAGGGACCGGGACCCAGCGGAACAGCGAATGTCCGAGGACAGAGCTGTCGAGCAACCGGTGAGGAGGGCAGGTCACGTGAGCGAGAAACCCAAGCACAGAGAGAGACGCTTATTCTCGGAGGTCATGGCATGTGAGTGAAGAGGAGACTCAGAGGACCAAGGCACGGGTCTTGCTGCTGAGATTTCTTTGCATGTAGGATGGGATTTCTCGCTCACTATTGTGCAATAGCAGGATGTCAATGACAAGAGTCATTTTCCCAAGGTCGGGAAAGATATTAAAGCAGCCATTTCTGTGCATCAATACTGAATTCTAGAAAGGACATCTTTATGGCAAACTTAAGTTTGCTACATATGTGGGTTCAAATCCTGGCTCTGCCGTTTGCCAACTATGTGACTTTGGAGGAGCAACTGATGTTGAGAATGGTTTTCATATCTCACGGGGTGGTATTGGGACAGTATTAAAGTTTGTGAAAGGAAAAAGCTCATATTCATTAAGGTCCTGAAAACTATCAAGCACGAACCCCCTGTGTGGTGCTCACAATTTCAGGAGCCGACTGGGCCCTTTTGCTAGGGCAGCCGTCAGAAACATCAGCCTCGGAGAACTGCCTACAGGAAGGGGGGCCAAGAGGGGACCGGCTCTAACTGTGGTTTTGGCCTTCAAGGGGCAAGAGCCTGGCTGTGAAGTGTCAGCAGCACCAAGTGTTCACTTCCACCAGGGCTTACAGGTGGGAAGGGTAATGACAGTCTCTTCTAGAACAGGCTTTGAGGACAGAAAGTCACATTCAGAACAAACTGTCTAATTTGCCTTGGGTGGGTGAGCAGCCAGGAACTAGCTGGGTTCTGATTCACTGAGCTTGGCTGAGAATTGGGCCCCATTCTCATAGCTCAAGGTACCACCAGTTTTATCTCCATCGCAGACCTCTGTTTTGCATTCCAGACTCATGTCTACAAATACCTATTCCCTTTAGCAGGCTCACAAGTAGCACAATCTCAGACTGTCTGTAAATGAAACTTAACCTTCCCGATCACTAAGCCTGCTCCAACTTGGGTGTCTAGGGTCCTAATAAACCTGGGAATCACTTTTTACTGATCCCTTATGCCCATCCTCAAAGAGAATCTAACAGCAAGCATTATCTATGCTGCTGTTAACATCTCCTCACATGGGTTTATTTTTCTCTAGCCTCACTGCCACTACTGTGACCCAACCCATCATCATCTCTTGGTTGGACTGACAATAGTCTTATTTTTTGGCCTCCCAGCATCTACTCTTGCCCCTTTGTGGACAGTTCCTTTAAAGCAACCAGAGACCCTTTGATACGCATAGATGCTCAAAACCCTCCAGTGAGTTTGCATAATACTCAGAAGAAAATCCAAATCTCTTCCCGTACGTAGTCTGCAAAATCTTCCCAAATCTGAGCAATGGCCACCCTCCAATCTCACTGTCTACCACATTCCCCTTGCTCACTCACACATCACTTTCTCAGAGCAGCGTTTCCTGGTGAATCTCTAGAACATAGCAATATCCATTCTCCCTCCATTGCTTTTTTACTAGCGATTTTTATTATGGGACCTTGCATATCTGATTGGCCACTTGTTAGAGTCCTCCACTGGAACAAAGCAGGAGCTGTCTTTGATTTACCAGGGTTCACCCTGTATGTGGAGGCTTGGAACATAGAAGCCACCCAATCCACATTTATGGAATAAATGATAATGAATTCTACATGCACTTCTGCCTCCAGCCAGCCCATTCTCACATAGCAACAGTTTGATCAGATTGATTTTTCTAACTATAATAAGGATGTGAAAACAAGGTATTTCCTACATTTGAGCTAGGATCCCAAGACAGTACATGGTGAATATTGCTACTTACACTGAGGTACAAAGAAAATAGATGAAATCCAGTTTCAGTATCCTGGACCCTTTGTCCACTGGGATAGTATATATAAACATTAAAGTACCAAAGATAAAGTGGTAGGAGTTTTTATAGTGTTGTGGTGGAAGATGGCTTTCTATATATGGCTCAAAATAGCCAACCATAAAAAAAAAAAGGACTGCTATGTTTGGCTGCATTTTAAATAAATCTCATGCAAGGGGTGGGGAGGAACCCACCACTAATTCATAAGCCCAAATAACAAATAAACAACCAGTAAAAAAATATTTGCAAGTCATATCGCAGACTGAGTGCTGTATCTCCCTATTATACAAAGAAAACCCAGTAACTGGAAAAAGATTAGTAATTCGAAAGGAAGGTAGGCAGTTAATAATAACATTAGGTCACAGACAAAGGAATTAAAAAAATGGCTCTTAAATATATGAATGTGCTAAGACTTACTCATAGTTTGAGAAATGTAAACAGCAAGTAAACCCAGGTACCACTTTTCCTTTACAGATGGGCAATAATCCGCATTTGGTAACACCACTGCTGGGGAGGTTGGAGCAAAGCAAGCAAGCTCATATGCTGCTGAAAGGAGTGTAAGTTAATACATCAGTAAGGAGGAAAAGTAGACGATAAGTGTCGAATTAATAAAGATACAGCGACCTTAGCCAAGTAATTCTATGGAATTATCTCTGCACACTTGTGAAAAGACGGATGCACACACGTTATTCTTTGCAGCTTGGTAACTGTAAGATTGAAATAACTTACACTGATCTCACATATATGTGGAATCTAAAAAAAATAGTCAAAGTCATAGAAACAGAGAGTAAAATGGTGGTTACCAAGGGCAGATGGAGTGGGAGAAATGGGGAGGTACTGGTCAAAGGGGACAAGCTTTCAGTGTTAAAATGAATAGCTCTGGGAATCTACTGTACAGCATGGTGGCTACATTCATACATCTGCTGCATATGAATTTTCCATCCCTCCCTCCCTCTCTTGGTATACAGATGTTTTCACTTTAAGTTCGCTTTTGACATATTAAAAAAGATTTCTTCAGTATGCATTTATTCATCTTCTCATTGCATTCTTATGTTTGCCCTTCTCCTCTATGAACTATGATCGGAACCCTTTCTCTCTTTTACCACCAGAGTTTCTACATTGATCATTTTGTGTTTTGTTTCCAGCAGTTTCTTCCCAGGGCTCTGCTCAGTCCTTTCCTGGGCTACATCCAAGTGCCCTGAGGGTCCTGGCTACCCAGGTACTCTTAGACCGTCCCACAGTCCTGAAGCATTCATTTGTGACATGGAATTTCAAAACCTCTCTTAGTTTTGTCCCACATTCTTGTAAATAAGAGCTAAACTCTCCTCTCTAAGTTGAGCCTATTTCCTTTTGGGGATATGTACTAGTTGGCAGTTTCTCAGTTCTCTGGATCTTAGGATTGTTAGAGGCCCCTTTTATCATCCGTCTACCTTCTCCTGCACAGCTTCTGTCCCTCCCTGCATTCTGATCGCTCTTGATCCCACCTTTGGCTTGGCCACACTGGTTGATAGCCTGAGGTTTGTAGGAGTATCTTGTCAACTTTTTTCTGAAAATGTTGGCCACAGATACATATTTTTTCTTTTGGTATCCTAGTTCCTCTACTGCCTTTGTGAAAGAACTCATGAAAATTCAAAACTACAATACTCCCTGTAATGCTCTTTTCTATTTTATATATTTTAAATGTTTTATACATTATTACTTTTATACACATGATGTTTACTCATATTTACTTCTACATGCAATATGTTGTATACAGTCCAGGCTTATTTATAACTCCCCCTATATTTACTATATTCACTTCTTTTTATCACTTTTATTTAATTCCTATAAACTTCTATTTTATTACTATGTTTACTGATTTTTGTTCCTTTTTATTTAATACTTATTTCAATACTTTTGAGTTGAGGAAACAGAACTGGTTGTCCAGGGAGTGCAACTTGGCTGGAAGATGCAGGACAGACTATCAAAGAAGAATGAGCTACATAGAGAGAGGATCCCAGAGATCTATAGGGGCTTCCCCTTGAGGATTGAGCAGGGGGCTTTTAAGAGCACACATGTGAAGCCAGGGAAAGAATCATCTGAAAGGGCTGGCAGGAAAAGTGCCTGGCATCCATGCAGGGCTGTTCCCACTAGGAAGACAAGAAAATTTTATAATTTACAGGGAATTTGACAGAATCAAGTACTCAGAAAAGCCTACTCTAAAGTTGTTGATAATTAGCCTAAATATCAAAATGACTCTTGTTGTATTTAAAAATCATAAACGCAAGACTTTTATTAAACGGTT